TAATACTAAAAATTTTTTATAACAAAATTACAGATAAAATTTTAAGGTGCGCCAGATTGGAGTAGTTAAAGTTGTATCCTTATAGGAACCGCACCCTTTATGTTTTGTAAAACGTACATCCATATTGTATTGTAGCAAATGTAGGATTCTAGCTCCCGTATTCGTCTAATGAAAAAAAAAAGTTCCTACGATGTGAGGCTTTCACTTAAAGTCTTGACGTTCTAAAATCTAACAAGTCGACTCTTAAAACACAATGGGCTAACAATTATCTAATCAAACCACAAAATTATCTAATCTAACCACATTTCTAATGGGTTTTTTGGATTCAGCTTTCTCGAATAATATCAAACGGCGGCCCTACAAAAACCCTATCCCTTCAAACAAATTCTTGTACTCTTCACAAATCTCCCCCCAAATATTAAAAAAAGCAGCGAAGGACTTCAACATAATTCAAATCCATAAACCTTAAAAAATTTATAAACTAAAATGATAAAATATCTTTTATATATAAACATGAGCATGATTAAGAACAAGTGTTGATTGAAATTGTTTTCAAGATTAGGAGCTTGGTTCGGATAAACATTTATATTTATCATTTACGTAGTTGTTATAACATATACAGTAAAGTATCATATTGCCTTAGGTAGTAGGTTTACATAAACTATTTGTATTTCCTTGGGAATATTTCATTTTGATTGAAAAATAGGTATATAATTTTAAAAAGAATACAAAAATTAATTTTTTTAACTTAAAATATTTATTTATGATTAAAAATAAACTTAAAAATATTAAATCTAAAAATATTTATCACTCGTGATAGAATAATAATACAATATAACACGTTATGTAGTTCAAATTTCCAAAACCGAAAGACTAGCATTTAATACAGTATAAGAGCGGCATGTAATTCAAATTTGGAAAACCGAAAGACTAGCATTTATTGGCTCATGACGTGGCAAAAGCAACAATAATTACTTTCATCTTTTTTTACAAAATGACCAATATCATTAAATATAAAGACAATTGAGTTCTTGGGTATCTAATAAAAATTATGGTTGAAGTTCCTTTAAGGCCTAGATTTATAAAAACAAAATAAAGCCTCACCTCTAATCTTTATTTGAAAAAGACTTCCAAGCATCGAATTTGATGGCTCTAAAATTAATTTCGACATCAACAATAAATTTTGAAACTAAAAAAATGCTACAGATCTAACGGATATATGAACACTTATTTTTAGGGTAAAATGGACAGCCTAAATGATTTATTGCAATATACACTATTTTTAGAATTTAAAATCCTAATTTTTTCACAACCATAATATTGAAGTTGACATAAACGATTTAAAGGTTTTCCAATGCTTGAATTGTAATTTTTGATTAATTATAAATTGAGAGGTTACTTATTTTGATAGGACTGCAGCCCTGTCAAACCATTATATTATAAAATAAAAAATCACATCTAATTTAGTCAATTTATATTTATGGCATTTCTTTAAAAAGGTACAGTTATATAAATAAGATAAAATTTATTAATTATCATTATTTGAAAGAAAAGATAATAAATTTTTTGAAAAGATAATAAAATTTTTAATTATTTGAATCAAAGTATTTCACCGATTTATAATTTCTTAAGTTAAAATTATCTAAAACAAAATTCATTTTTATATAAGTGATTTTAATATCCAGATTACTTCTATGCTATAAGTTAAATTATGAATACCTAATATAAAATAATTTAAATTTATGAGTAATTTTAGAATATCAAAACTTAAAATTTTAATTTATAAACAAAGATGTATAATTTTACAGTATGATGAATTGGGGATGCTCAGGTAGGGTTGGTTGCTTATTTTTTAATTATTATTGTTTATTTGTAAATACAAGAAGTCTTTATAATTTTGAAAAACATTTTTTACCTACTTATAATTTTCTAAGGGAACTTCTCTAAAACAAATATGGGTTTTATAATAAATTTCGATCTATACTAAATAAACTATATCTTTTATTAATTTTAAATATTTATTTTAAAGATTATAAATTTCATATCACATTGATTTCAAAGTAATCAATAAATGATTTAAAGCTATGAATATATATTAAATTTCATAATTGGTCAATGTCATAATTAATAAACAAAATTAAACTTAAATAATATTTTATAAATAAATTTATTTTTTATAAAAAGTATACAAACGATCACACGTTTTCTAATATTTACTTGGCACTTTAGCAATCAAATAAATAGGTGTATATATCTATGTCTAAGACTAAAGAAGCCTAGGACATAAAAACCTTGTGTACAATTTTTATAAAAACTAAAATTTCAATTCTTTTCTTTAAAATATCCATCGGATGATATACCTTGGGTCAGTAATCTAGGAAAATGGAGAGATTAAGGAAGATATGACACACATAATTAGAGCTGGGTACGCAAAGTGGAGATGTGCAACTGAAATTTTATGTGATCGTCGCATATTAATAAAACTGAAGGGTAGTTCTATAAGATAGTTGTGAGACCAATTTTGCTTTTCTTGAGCAGAATGTTGGGCGGACTAAAAAATAATAAACCCATAAAATTAGTATAGCCGGAGATGAGGATGTTGAGATGGATTCCTTTTGAATTCTATCCATTTTGGTCTTACCATTACATAAATGACACATTGTACTAATGTAAAAGACTCACCACCAATTTTTGGTGAGTATCCAAACTACTGTAAAATAAAATCCTTTTAAAACAATAGAATATATATTTCCTTATAAAATTATTGTATTGTATATTATATTCCTATACGGTTATTAATTTATCATTTTTCATATATTGCAGTTGAATATATCTATGACACAAAAATATTTAAAATTTCATTGATATGTTATAAATTACAACTTATAGCTGTATAACTAAAAAAATACATAAGTTATAAATATATTTTTGTAAATTATAAGTAATAACTTACAAATATTTAAATTATTCTTTATAAAATAATAAATTATTAATTTTAATTAGAACAAACTCCTAAAAAAGTTGATTAAAAAAAATTATTCTTTATAAAATAATAAATTATAAATTTTAATTAGAACAAACTCCTAAAAAAGTTGATTAAAAATTTAAATGGCTTAAAAAATAAAACATTAATTACCGATAGACGTACAATATAATATGCAAAGACCACAATAAGAAACTTCTGATCTTATGCGCAATTAAAGCATAAAGGCCCATACTTCAGGGTGTGAAATGTACAAATCTCTTTAAAATCTATAATGAAATAATATGTTTATTTTAAATGAATTCTATATTCATATTGACTGCTTTAAAGTAAATTTCACATAAGTCGAGTGCATAGCACAACAGAGTGCCAACACAAAAATGACATATTACACTGCTATAAGATTAATTCAAAGCTTAATATGGATAACATAAAAGTCAGATCGGCTTCTACATTTAAAATTTATAATGAAATAATATGTACAATTTAAATAAATTCTACATTTATGTTAATTCCTTTTAAAAGTTATGGGTAGTACAAAATAATGGCGCCATAAAAAAGATGCATTTAACAGCTCTAGGCAATAATTTATTTAAGATTAATATTTTTTTAAAATAATTTTGCACAAGTTGAGCGCATGGTACAACATGGTGTCACTAAGAAAAAAACACACGTTCCACTATTCTAAATAATAGTTTACTTTAGATTAATATTAGTTGAATGTCAATTTATTAGCCAAATTGTATAATTTTAGTTTTTAAGTTTCACTTGTTCTAATTCAATATAAGTTAAAAAAAATTATACAATGAGACAATTTATCTTTAGTACAAAGTGGTCGCAATTAATTTTGATAATTGGATGTGAAATTAAATGTAAATTTATTCCATTGACCAAACTCAAACTTTAAAAGAAATTTTTGCCAATTTTGTAACGCATCCAAGATATCATATTTCAAATTGTAAGTAACACTGACTTCCTTGTATCAAAGATAAATAGTCTCATTGTATACACTGATTTATTCTTATACATTTTTACAATTGAAAAATTTTACTATTACTTTTCACTAGGTATCTCTAGAACCATTTAGCCTTGACATCTAAACTTATCACACAAGTTAAGCTAGCAATACAACATATCACTACGACAAACATATCTAAAACATTCTATGATTTTTTATGCTAAAATTACATCTTATAACAAAAATTTGATGGTGCACCTTATTTCTTTGAATCGCAACTTTATAGATACCACACACTTATAAAAGATATTCTAATTGAGAAATGATCCTATAAGACCTTCCTCTATACATATGCGTAGGACCTCAAATGATCATTAATAAATTTGCCTTGGATCTATAAAAAAGTTAAGTCCCACACCCAAATAATAACTTTTTGAAAGATCTGTATCAACTTTAATAGTAATATTTTGAAGTCCTACACACATGGGTGGGGAAAGGTCCTATAAGATCATTACTCTTTCTAATGATCACCATTAAAGTTTGTATGGATCTATAGAAAAGTCAAATCCCACATCCATGTGAAGTACATAGGTTCTACTTGTAAAAGAATTCAAATATAATACAGAACACGTGGATTCTACTAGTAAACAATAGACTATAGAGTAAATGAGGAGCTTACTAATAGCCGGTCGTTACATTTATAAACCGTAGATGTAAGCGATTCTCTAAACGTCAAAAAGTCCCCGCCAGAACCATCTCGACCGTTCGTTCTCTCTCTAATTTTAGCACTAAAAGAAGGCCAAATAAAATGCCTCTCTCTCTCTATAAAAAATAAAGAGTAAAATATCCCCTCTCTCTCTCTCTCTCTCTCTAAACGAAAAGGAAAATACCCCATGATTCTCTCTCACGGAACTCTCTAGAAACCGATTCGCGACTCCCATATAAATACCCTTCAAACCCCCACCTCATCTTCGCAGTACTGCATCTGCAGCCGCTCCTTTCACTCCGCCTGCTCTTTTCTCGATCAATTCCACCTGTTTTTAACTGGTTTTTCGACTTCTCTGATTAAAGCCAGCAATTGCGTTTGCTTGTAGGTGGGTTCGCTCTACCCCACTTTTTGAGTGGTGTGCTCTTATTGATCTTGCTATTTTTTTCGATTGATGGATTAAAGGGTAATGTGGGTTTTGTTTTCTGTTGCATTTGCAGGTAGGATTTGAAGGTTTTTTTTTATTTGCTGTGATTGTTTTAGAGGGTGTGTAAAGGGATTTGCTAGAGAGATGGACAAGGATTTTGATATTCCTGATGCTAGAGAGATGGATAAGGATTTTGGTATTCCTGATGCTGGAGAGATGAATGAGGACTTTGATCTTTCTGATGATTCCCCTGCTTTGAAAGTGGGTGAGGAGAAGGAGATTGGGAAAGAGGGTCTCAAGAAGAAGCTTGTCAATGAAGGTTCAGGATGGGAGACTCCTGAGAATGGGGATGAAGTTGAAGGTATTGCTATAGAGGATCCATGTTTCCACTGGTTTATCTTTCTCTCTCTCTCTCTCTCTCTCGTTGAGTCTAAGGGTTTTTTTTGTTGTTGTTGTTCAGTGCATTATACTGGCACACTCTTGGATGGAACCCAATTCGATTCAAGCCGTGACAGAGGGGCGCCATTCAAGTTCAAGCTCGGCCAAGGTGAGCATTTGTTTTTGCTCTATTACATTTCCCCTCGGCAGTAAGCTCTTCAATGGATTTAGCTATAGTGAAATATGCATTTAATGGGTTGGCCTTCCATCCAGAAGAGGCAGTTTTGCATTTTAATCTGCATTTTTTTTTCTGCCCTTACATTGTTCTTTTATTTGTTTTTATAAGTGAAGATTATATACCTGCATTTATGTGGGTTAACTGTTGGTCCGTATGTATGTTTGGTTTGTGGTTCTATGGATTTAACAGGACCTCGCTCTTCTGTTTAGTGTTGATTTTGTTTGAACTACTTGGTTATGGAACTTTGGTATCAGGATTAGAATTCAATTAGTTTCTTGTATGAAGTAGAACATCACAACGTTATGTATGCACCCATTAGGAAATTGTTGTTAAGCTAAACATGCTCACTAGATGGTTATTTTTAAGCGGACCCCAAATCATTGGGATAAGGCTTGGATGATGATGCTCACAAGATGGTTGTGGGTATGATGTCACTGTGAAGGAATTTACATTGCATAGAAACGAAGGCTCTTGCTTGATTGAACCCAACAAATGGGGGATTATTAAGTTGGTTTTGAGTTTTGATTGATAAAGATAAAGTGTTCATATTTGGTTTGATTGGTAGCTCTCTATGACATAGATAGATGTCGTTTGGAAATCTTTTTTATGCTTATAGTGACCTAGTTTCAAGCATATCCAAATACTTTTAATCCTCCAGCTTTAAGGAGATCCAATCCCCTGTGATCATTCTTGTAGTTCTGTTTTTGTTGATATTTTGTGGTCCCAAGTAAAATCTGTGCATGGTATTTGAAAGAGAATTGGGAGGCAAAGGAATTGTGGAGTTGGTACCTCGGTCAGCGATTGTGTTCTTGAATTTCTTAACCTTTTTATTGCTCTCTGTGTATCTGCTAGTTTGGATGAATATTAAGTGTTTGATGCAAGGAAAAACAATAAATCATACAAAAATAAAAATAAAAATAAAAGTCTTTCTCTGGGTTTGCAAAGGAGTCTACCCTAAGATCTAAATCTTTCTTTATTCTTTAGGGCCAGTTTGGATGTAAAATAAAAAGAAATTGTTATCCAATAAAAATATAGTTTTTCAAATACCAATTGCAAAAAATGCCAAGCCTTTTTTCATTTTTTATAAAGCCGTTTGGGTGTTAAAGTCTATTTTCCTCTCTGCGATTCTCTCCCTCAACAAGAAGGGGATAACTACGCAATTAATGCTCTTTCTCTTTCACCTTGTTGTGTGTTTTTCCCTCTAACCTTGATGCAACCGCAAATCCATGAATTGAAGAATAGAGCAAACCGTAATGGTGAATTAAAGATCTCCTTGTTTCCCTCTTCTCTTCTCCTCTTTAACAAGAGACTTAAGCTAGCAAACCCTAATAGTGAATTAAAGATCTCTTTGCTTCCCTCTTCTCTTCTCCTCTCTGACAAGAGACCCAAGCTCTTGTTATTGTTCTTCTTCTTCTCTCATCTTCTCTGCCTTATTTGAGTTTTGTCTTGTACCTCTGTTTTGGAGGTATGATGAGAGTTTGCCCCTGGTTTTAGAAAAGAGAGAGAGAGAGAGAGAGAGAGAGGAGGAGAGAGAGAGAGAGAGAGAGGGGAAGAGCTTGGTTATTCTTGAGAGAGATTTAGAGAGAGTAGATTTGGGGTTTATGAGGTAGAGAGAGAGAAAGTAAACATAAACTCGAGCCTGCTATGGAACTTTTGTGAGCAAACAGAAACTCGAGTGGCTGTTTCCTTCATAATTTCTTTGTGACAATTGATTTTCCTTTGAAGATTTCGAGTTGAAGTAGTTTAAAGAGAGTATAGATTTGAGGTTTATGAGGTCAAGAGCAGTGTATCAAAAAGCGCTAGGCGGTTCCTAGGCGGCCTAGGGGGTCCAGGCCTCCCAGCGCTTAGGCGGCCCGTCAAGAACCTGGGCAGCTGCCCAATTGAAAAAAACATACCAATATATTATATATCATATTCCAAGTTGAAAAAAGAAAAGATAGACGTTGAGAAGAGAATTTTGATAATCCATATTGTTAAAGCAGTAAACTGTAAAACCATACAAGTATAGGATATAAAAGTCAACACTCAACACAACAAAAATATACAGAATTTAGAAAATATACAGTCTATCAAAAGTCAACACTCATGACTGAACACAATAGTCAGCATTCAACATTCAGCACCAAGAGGTAAGAGTCTTCAGTCGTCGTCATCATCATCATCATCAGAAGGAATATCAATAGGGCAAGCCTCATCATATGCATCAGAGTCAAGGCCATCATTAGAGTAATCTCCTTCTTCAATATAACGCTCGTCTTCCTCTGTTTCTTCTAAATTTGTCTCTTTCTCCTCCTCCTCCTCCTCTTCTTCTACCTTCCTCTTACTAGTATGTGCAATCTGTGCTGATGAGGCCCTAGGAGTCTTGGCTGTCTGCCCTTTTCTTTGTGTTTCTGTGTACTCAAATATTGTATAATTTCCTCCTTGGTAGTCTCAGGAACATTTTTACATGGGGCAACATCTCCCTTAAAACCGGCAAGGTATTTTTTAAATCGGTAAATGCTCCCATTAGTATCATTTTCACAATAATTACATTTAATACAATATTTATCACTTGGATTCGGGTTATAACCATACTTCCAACCTGGATCACCACTCCGACAAGAACCTGGAGAAGATACTTCAATAGAACAAGGCTTATTTTCAACCTTTTATGGTTCTTCTAAATTCAGAAGAAGTCTAATCTCATCCCGCACTGGTTTAAGAACCTTTGTACAAGAAGAAACATTATCTCTAACACCAACAAGGTGTTTTTTGAATCGGCTAATAACCCCATTGGTATCTTTTTCACAAACATTACACTTTATACAATTTTTATCATTTGGTTTTGGGTTGTACCCATACTTCCAACCCGGATCACTTCTTTTAGTAGTGGCAGAAATAGATCTATGACAAGGATTTTGTTTTTGTTTTTGTTTTGGTTTTGCATAACTTATATATTGCTTAATCTCCTCTCTGATAGCTTCAGGAACATTTTTACAAGGGGCAACATCCCCCTTAATACCGGCAAGATGTTTCTTAAACCGGTTTATGCCTCCTTTTGTAACTTTTTCACTAAAATTGCATCTAATGCAATTTTTTTCATTTAAATTCGGGCTGTATCCATATTTCCAACCTGGATTTCCACTCCGACTAACTTATGAAAAAGACATCTCAAAATAAAACAATCAATCTAAAAAATAAAGTTTTGCACTTATTTTGATTGCTCGAACTCCAAACTTTGAGACACTTCGATCCAATGAAATGTAGTTTTTTGGATGTTTCTTTTTCTCTAAAAGGGGTTCTTGTGGGAATGAACTTAAAACCCTTCATTTTAACATTTTATATCTTTAAAAAAAATCAAAACAAAAAACAAAAAAAATCATTTTTGCCTCTGGGCGGGGCGCAGGCCCTGGGCGGCCGCATAGGCGGGTTCCATACCGCCCAAGGACCACCGCTCAGTTTGGCCGCCTAGGCCTAAGCAATGCGCCCAGGCCTTCTGAACCGCCTAGGTGCTGGGCGGCCCACTTTTTTGAACAATGGTCGAGAGAGAGAAGTTTTGGGGTTTCTGAGGTAGAGAGAGAGTAGATTTGGGGTTTCTGAGGTAGAGAAAGAGAGTAGATTTGGGGTTTATGAGGGAGAGAGAGAGTAGGTTTGGGGTTTTTGAGGTAGAGAAAGAGTGGGAGTAGATTTGGGGTTTATGAGGTTTCACGGTGTGGGTTGTTGGGTCACAAGGTGGGGTTTGCATGGGGTGAGAGAGTAGATTTGGGGTTTATGAGGGAGAAAGAGATTAGATTTGGGGTTTCTGAGGTAGAGAAAGAGAGAGTAGATTTGAGGTTTATGAGGTTTCACGGTGTGGGTTGTTGGGTCATAAGGTGGGGTTTGCGTTGGGTGAGAGAGCCGCACTTTCATAAAAAAAATTCAAGTTTGATACTACAGAACTTTTTGTTTCAATCTAAAAATCTAATAAAATCTTGTGGTTGTCCAAACGTTTTAAATCTACTTCACAAGATTTTTGGCTTGCAATACGGAAATATTGCAATTTTGGGTACATGCAAACTAGCACGTAATCACGCCCTACAAAGAATGGACCTCTTCCTTTTAAGTACAAACCAAAAGGAATGATACGTAAAAATAAAATAAAAATAGAAAACTAAACTCTATCTCTCCCTTCTCTTAAAAACATGTCTTAACATATCCTACCCAACCCAACTATGCTAATCCTTATCTATATCCATCTTTTTAAAAAATAAAAAACTAAACTTCCAATTTTATCCCTTAAATCTCTACAACTATATCCATCTTTTTTTTAAAAAAAAAAAAAAAAAAAACAAACTTCCAATTCTACCCATTAAATCTCTACAACTAAAAAGATAAGAATAACCTAAAGAAAACTGAAAATCCAGATAATATATTTTCGAAGTCCTAGAAAAATATAAAAATTTGAAAAATTAAATTTTATTTGCATCATTCTCTCGAGGTTGGGAGAAGCTCGACTTCGAGCTTACATTTCTTAAAGGCCAATGGTGTAATTGGTGATGTAGTCCGATCATTCTTGTCGGTACTGTGTCTTCAATAAATCAATTCATCAAATACTTTGTATTTAAGTTGATGTCGAGCTTAATCTTGATTTCTTTTTCAAGTTCCTCATAAAACTCAGGATGATCAAGCTGAATACCAAGATCATGTAGATGTTCTTCAGATAGTGGTTCTTGCATCACGATACGCTTGTTACATATAGGATTGGGATTTAGAATTGATTTTGGTGGTAGTTTTGTCTATAAGGTAAAAGTTGGCGCTAGATCTATGTGATTGTGAGGACCATCTTCTCCAAGAATAGTGGTCTCTAATCGTTGCAACCGTTGCTTCATTTCATGAACGTCGCTTTGAACATCTTTTATGACTTTGGTTAGATTTTCTAAAATGTCCCATGCGATTATCCATAATAGGATTAGTTTCGGTGGCGTTGTGATGGTTGGATATGCTTTGCTTTGTTACCAATTGATGCAGGTAAAAATAATGAACCAGAAAAAAATAAGAAATAAAAATAAAGGTTTGAGAGATTCTACCCTCTCAGGGTTTACAAGGGAGTACACCCTAAGTTCTTTTCTCATTTTGTTTATTCCCCGATCGCTCTCTACAAAGAATTGACCTCTTCCCTTTAAATACAAACAACAATAAAAAGAAAAAAAAAAAAAAAACAAAAAAAAAACTAAAACTACCATCTCTCTTTTATCTCTTAAAAACAAGTGTAACATAGCCTAACCAATCCAACCATGCTAAACATTATCTATATCTATCTTTTTTCTTTTTATAAAAAGTGCTACCCATTAAATCTCTTCAACTAAAAAAGATGAGAATAACGCTAAAGAAAACTGAAAATCCAGATAACATATTTCGTAAGCCCTAGAAAAATATAAAAATTAAAGAAATCATTTTTTATTGCATCAGTTTTAGACTCCAAGGTTATAAAGTGTGGCATATTAAGTACTCTGAAGGTCATTATAACGTAATGGCCACAGTCAGAAGCAATGTGTTATATGTAGATATGAAGGTAGTTGTCTAGAGCAGATTATTCACTTATCGATGTGTATCAATTGTGGGCAGATTGTGAGTGCCAATTTCTTAATCTTGATTTTTTATCTTCATTATGTGAGATATATTGACTGGCCAGAGTGTAAGTGCTGTTGTCTAAACCTTGATTATGTGTGTTCATATGGATCACCATGTCTTTCACATTTATCATGGTAATTGTTGAAGGAGTGATCACAGCTTTTTGCATCTGAATGTTTGGTATTTAGTATGGAAAGATTCCTCTTGGTTTCTTTGGTGCCAAACCTTATGGGATGAGATTGGTTGTGTACCTTTTACGAGGAGAGAGGACCTTGTATTGTGTTCAATTTTTTTGGGTAATTGTAGTTAATAATTATAGTAACAGTGAATTTTCCTACTCTTGAGGTATCCTACTATTGTTTATTTGAATTCCGGTGTTGAAAGTGTTTTGATAGTTAAGGACTTGTAATTTATTTGTTATTAGTTTTATATATGTGTTTATTTTAATTCGTGTTTTCCCTTTTCTCCTTGCATACTCCTGATGAAATTATGTTTGGTTGGCATTATTTTAAAGAGGATTATTTAGGAAATATTCTGGATTTCAAGTACAACCAGTAGTTTGTATTTGATACCTGTGATGTTCTGATGTTTCTGAGCAGCGCTACTTCTTTTCGGTATATTGTCGTAAAACTAACTGTGAACTTGTTTTGCCAGGGCAAGTAATCAAAGGATGGGACCAAGGGATCAAAACCATGAAGAAGGGGGAGAAAGCCATCTTCACCATCCCCCCTGAACTTGCCTATGGTGCCTCTGGTTCTGAACCTACAATACCACCCAATGCCACCCTCCAGTTTGATGTGGAGCTTCTCTCTTGGTCGAGTGTGAAGGATATTTGCAAGGATGGTGGCATATTTAAGAAGATCCTTGCTGAAGGAGAGAAATGGGAGAACCCCAAGGACTTAGATGAGGTTTTAGGTATGCATCACTTTCTCAACCTGGAACGGTTGCATTAATACTAAGATTGAAAATTTGAATGTGGTTCTATTTTACCGAATTTTAATATTTGTGCAGTGAAATACGAAGTGAGACTTGAGGAGGATGGTACAATTGTTTCAAAATCAGAGGGGGTGGAGTTTACAGTGAAGGAGGGTGAGTAGAGAGAAGAATGGAATGCTTTACCTGTCAAGAGACGAAAAAAGTGCGACAGTACACTCTAGGGAGTGTCCACAGTTGATTGTATATTTCGTCTCTCATTCTTTATGATTGGAATGCAGGGTATTTCTGTCCTGCTCTGTCGAAGGCTGTAAAAACCATGAAGAAGGGAGAGAAAGTACTGTTGACTGTGAAGCCTCAGTGTAAGTCATATTTTGATGATTACATTATGTGCATGAATATGGTGATTAATGTGTTGTTACAAAACTTGATAATTTGTAGTTACAAGAGTGACTGATGTTTTTTCTTTTGGGGTGCAGATGGTTTTGGTGAGAAGGGAGGGGAAGCTTGTGGGGAAGAAGGGGCTGCTGTTCCATCCAATGCCACCCTCCATGTTACTCTTGAGCTGGTGTCTTGGAAGACAGTCTCTGAGGTGACTGATGACAAGAAGGTGCTCAAGAAGGTACTCAAGGAAGGAGAGCGCTATGAGAAACCCAATGATGGTGCAGTTGTGAAAGGTATGGAGCTCACCTTTGCCATTGTTGAATACTTCATGGAGTGGTAATTTGTTTTGCCCGTGGTTGTGTTTGCTAACACTCATAATTTTGTTGCAGTTAAGTTCACTGGGAAGCTGTTGGATGGCACGGTGTTTGTCCAGAAAGGTTCTGATGAGAAGCCATTTGAGTTCATGACTGGAGAAGGTGAGGATAGAGCCCTCCTTCCTAGTTCCTTTCTACCCAGAGACACCCTGCTCTTTACATGAGTGCTAATGTTCAATCAGGTTGACTTGTATTTGATGAATTTCTTTATGTACAGAGCAAGTGATCGAAGGGCTTGATAGGGCAGTGATGAGCATGAAGAAAGGGGAGGTAGCGTTGGTGACCATCTCCCCTGAATATGCCTTCTCATCCGTAAATACGCAACAGGACCTGGCTGTAGTGCCTGCTAATTCTACAGTGCAGTATGATTTGGAGCTTATGTCTTTTGCTAAGGTTCTTTTTTCCTCTGTGCTCCCCGAGAAGCTAGTTTCTATTTATGTTGGTTTGTTCTTTATGCAAATCCTTATTGCTAGATGATCTTCAGGAGAAGGAGTCTTGGGACATGAACACAGCAGAGAAAATTGAAGCGGCCAGTAAAAAGAAGGAAGAAGGCAATGCCCTGTTCAAAGTGGGCAAATATCTAAGAGCTTCCAAGAAATATGAGAAGGTAAGAGAGAAGAAGCCTCTCTCTCTCTCTCTCCCTCCCCCCCCCCCCGAAGCTGGCTGAAAATTTGGAAATGGGCATTTGCAGGCTGCCAAGTACATTGAATATGACACTTCATTTAGTGAGGAGGAGAAGAAACAGTCCAAGCAACTCAAGGTGACCTGCAACCTCAACAATGCTGCATGCAAACTCAAACTGAAAGACTATAAACAGGCGGAGAAGCTCTGCACCAAGGTCTGCTTTTCCTCCACTTTTTCTCTATTTACCTTTTATTTTCAAGGAATTTGATGTAGGATCATGTCATAGATTATATGCTCTCTTTCTCTCTCTGTCTCTGTAGCTTCTCTCTCTTACTGTATGTTAGCATTGACAATTTTGAAGTTATGAAATGTGAGCAGGTACTGGATCTGCAGAGCAAAAATGTGAAGGCTCTATACAGGAGGGCACAGGCCTACATTCATACAGCAGATCTGGATTTGGCAGAGCTTGACATTAAGAAAGCTCTGGAGATCGATCCTGACAATAGGTATACGCTGAGTTGTTGCTTTGTGAAGAGCGTTTCAGTTGTGAGTCTTATATAGAATGTGTTCGAGGGGCAAGAAACGATAGATGGAACTGACCAAATATCTTTTGGTTTTTTATGTATTTGGAATGAGTAGGGATGTGAAGCTAGAGTACAGGACATTGAAGGAGAAACTGAAAGAGTACAACAAAAAGGAGGCCAAGTTTTATGGCAATATGTTCAGTCGAATGAGTAAACTGGAGCAACTGGAATCTAATGTATGTAAACAACACAGTTGATAATGATCTCTCTCTCCCTCTCTCTCTCTGTACCTAACTGACAGTTTGCATATGCGTGATGAAGCAGAAGGCTAACCAGGCAAGTAGCAAGCAAGAGGAGGAACCAATGAACATTGATGGAGAGGCAGTGGCGGCAGCCTAGAGAGTGATGGTCTCGAGTCTATTTGGTTCCACTCCACGAGCACAATTGAGAAATGCAAGTGGGTGGTGTGGTTGCTAGTTCATATTAGAGTGTCTCTGAAACAGAAATGACGTGTCAAGTGTTGTTAATCGCAAGGTACATTATACATAGGTTTCATATGGAGTTATTAATCTTAACTGTCTGGTTGAGTGAGTTCTATGAGTGAGAGCTGACAAGTTACCCGCTGTAAGCACTGGGCCTTAACACTTTTTAAAATTACACGCTCTTTCTACTTGTTCAAAAAAACTTCTGGTTAATGTTACCCTTTCTGAATGTCGAATTGAGACACCAATGATCTGTAGAATCTACAATTGTTGGGGCTTTTCGAGTATGGTTCAATTTGGATCATTTACCAAGCTTGGAGCATATTAGATTGGCAGGAAAAAGTCGGTATTGTGGAGAAAATACAATTTCTTTTCCTTATTATAAATATGTGAAGATGGATGGGGGCAGGTGTTTGCAGTGGGGCGGGGTAGTGCCATGAATATAATATGGCTCTAGTTCTTGCTCTTCTTTGTTTTAAAGGATTCGTCTTTGAAAATTTCAATCTGTATAAATTAGTATCCTGCCATGACTCTTATTTTACAGCCGCGTGAAAGCACAAGTTTTAGGAGGGTACAAATTTATGAGAGTTATGAAGATCAATTTGTTTCTATGCAATGGTTTGTTCATAGTAGTGGGTTGGAACCATGGTTTAAAAATCTGGATTGGATTTTTAATTGTATCTTTAAATGTCGCGAATCACCTAATCCCTCACCTTATGGTAGACTTGTCGAGGTGAGATGTTGAGCTGATAATGCACATTGAGGTTTATGAGTAAATGTTTTTTTTCAATCTTTTTTACGACTTTTTATGTTTTTTTCTGTCATATTTTGGCCTTTTGTAGTAAATTATTGATTGAAATCATTATTAAATGGCTATAAAATTGCAATCGATTGTGTCGTTTTTTTATAGTTTCTAAATTTTTTTGCCATTTTATTGATATATCTTCAGAATATTTTTACTGCAATTTAGTACATTTGAAAGAGAATCTTTATCTAAGCCTTTACATAAATGTGTGTTGATTTATTTGTTTTACCGAAGATTCTAAGGTTGGACAAAATGTTGGTGCTGAAAAACAATGACCTTGATTTAAAATTAAAGATTCTGATCAATTAGGTCGTTTTGAATCAAATTGAGTTGTGTTTTTTTATCATTAGGATTTTATCTCTTAAATAAATGAGGTAAATTTATTTATCATTTAGTACTTTTTTTATGAATATTTTCTAGCTTGCATGGGATGAAAAGTTTAGGGTTTTGAAAATTTTGCCATTGCATCAATTTAATCTTTGATGTCGAATTATTTTTGCTAAAATTTGATGGGTTTGAAAGGGAATTGAAGCTGTTACATAATATGAGTAGTGATTTATTCGATCTACAAAAAATTGTGGTTCGATTTTTGCTCAAAACATTGCTACTGAAAAACTTGTTCCATATCTAAAATTGAAAATCCCGATTGATTTATAGCTTGTTTGCAATTAAAATAATTGTAGTTTTTATCGTTATGACTTTATCTCTCAAACAAATTAAATAAATTAAAGTATCATTAAGTAATTTTTGTTCTATGAATTTTTTCTTGGTACCATATGATGAAAAGTCTAGGATTCTAATAATATCCATCATTTTATCGATTTAATCTTTGATATCAAACAATTTTTGCTGCAATTTGATGCGTTTGAAGGATAAGTAAAGCCTTTATATAATATGTGTGTTTATTTGTTCAGTCTACAGAAGATTGTGAGTTAATTTTTGTTTAAAACGTTGCTTGATTTTTCGAACTTTTGAAAAAATTAATTTTAAAAAAAAACTTATTTTGCTAAATAAAATTAGGTCTTATGATGAATATGGGCTCTTGATACATATTGCGTGGGAATAAATATTTTCTATTTTTAATTATCTTCAGTTTTTTCTCATGATTTTGCAAATTTTAGGGGAAAAATGTTGGTTTTTTTAATTTTTATTCTTTTTTTTTCTTTTAATGTTAGATTCGTTCTTTTAATATTGTAGTTTTTTTAATCTTGTTTTTAATTATTTTTTTAGTGATATGAATGAATGATTGATAGACATCTAAACAAGAAAACGCTTACGCATTCACGTATTTTAACAAAATAATGAAAAATATATAATGCATTAGTCCCAAAACTTTTTAGAAACTCAAAAAAATTATTTTTTAGAGATTTTTAGTGATTGTTCTAATTTTTATTGGGCCGAAACCTACCTGTCCATCCGATTCTGCAATCCAGATCATTGATCCATCGATCTGACATAATTTTTGAGGTGGCTGATCGAATTACCGATCCGTTTTTTTAAACCTTGATTGGAACAATATATTCGATAATTATTATTATTATTATTTGAAACAAACATAAAAAACGAAAAAAATGGAAGGGAGACAGGAGATCAATTAGGATCTACCAAAGGACAAATCTTTTGCAAAATGAACCGGATCCTTTTGAGTGTGGTTTTGAAGAAACTTCACTCAAGCTTCTCAATTTTTTGAGTGATCACTAGATAGGCTCTGAAATTGCTGGGTTTTGTCGGCTCCTAGTTTCGTGATTTGGGGGGAATCATATGCTCTAGTTTTTAACAAATTTTAGGAGCAACAATTCTTTTATTTGGTTTGTAGTTGGTAAAAGTTTTCAGTTCATATGTTTCGATTTTGATTTTCTCACTCAGTTGTAGGGATTTTGTAAAAGTTTTTGGCAAAATCCACCAAATTGAAGATTTAATCTTAGATTTTTGAACTAAATCAAAGGATTTTCATTCACAAATTTCTACATTAGTACAGCGTCCCTTTAATGGACAAAAACTTGGATTTATATAAATCTAGCCCAAAAATCTGAGATCAAAATTGGAGCACAGTTTGGCTCCTTGAAATTTTTTCTTTTTGAAAAAAATAAAAAATTTTCGTGGATAAATTGTTCAATTATCTTAGGTTTTGTTTGGTTTCATGTTAGGAAGGATCATTCATTTGATATTTTCTTTGTTTTATATACGTATTTATTATCATGGCTATGTTTTGATTTTTTGGATAATTCCTCTCTTTTTTAGAGAAAACATAATCTATTTTGATACTACTAAAAGAAAAATTTTAGATTCTTTGTTTTATATACGTATTTATTATCATGGCTATGTTTTGATTTTTTGGATAATTCCTCTCTTTTTTAGAGAAAACATAATCTATTTTGATACTACTAAAAGAAAAATTTTAGAAGCGAGGATAGCGTCAAACCTGAGACCTGAGAGGGGGTGTGTCTTGAGGATGGTGATTGCATAATTTGAAATTTATTTCAAGAACACATTTTTAGAGAGAGAAAAGAAGCTTTTGAGAAAATGGGAGCTCAATAATTTTCGCTGTTTCATGCTCCTAAACTGCTTTATTTATAGGAAAGAGAAGGGGGCCTAATGTTCCATATCTCAATGGGTTTCTCATAAACAATCACTCAGATTTTAGGGATGCTTATTTGATGCAAATCGCATCTGAAACATTTATTTATTTTTAATTTTTTTAAAATTAATTTTTAGGGAAGTAGGTAGACTTCTTTTTATTATGTATTAGTTTTATTTTTTAAGAATCACATTATCAAGGTTAAATATTGTTTCTATTAATATTTTGGGGGTGTGATTCGAATTATATGGTCCTTTTGCTATGTAACTAAGTTAGGGAGAAAGAGTTTGGGGGACTATGGCATGATTTGAATAGGGCGAAGAGTACCTATTTTAGTGAGGGAGATAATGATTCCTTGCTTTAAAGAATTTAATAAGGTGAGGTATTGAAGATTAACTTTCCTTTTTGATGGGGTGATAAGTGAATGGGGTAACAAAGACAAAGAGGGAACTCATGTGGCATATTGGTGGTTGAAGGGAGGGTGAGAAAAAATCCTAAAAAACGGATCCAGAAAGAAAATAAGAAAGTTTGGACAGATGTTGATTTGCATGATTTATAGAGAGATTCATGAAAGGTTACATGAGAGAAATGAGTTGCAAAGAGAGACTCTTTTTTTAATTTTTTAATTTTGTATTTAAGAGGGGTGGCATCCCAATTAGAAGGATTTTGGATATTTTTGTCGAGAGTTTTTTATGAATGAAGAAAAATAGTTTCTTTTTCTCTTGACTTGATTTACAACCTCCTTTTGTCTCGTAATTGTTGAATTTTTGCTTGTTTAAGATCAACAGAATGCCAGAGTTTTTAAGATCCCTTTGCATTATTTAGTATGAGAGCACAGTTCAAAAAGGTTCGCAACTACAATGGCTAGTCATGGAGGTTGCAACCGTAGAAATGCCGAACAAGACCAAATGTACAAAAAAATCGACAACTTGATAGAGATGATTGAAAATTTGTTGCAAAAAAAAAGGTTGCAACATCACACATAGAACAAGATGATATCTATAGTTTTAGTATTGGGTGAGTGTGGCCATTAAAGACTTTATGAGTGTTTGTAATTAAATATTTTGATATAATGAAACATGAACTCAATGGGAGTATGGTCCCTCATGGACTCTACTAAGCAAATAAATGATTGCTGATATCAGACTGGGGTTGACGAGCTAGGCCAGTCGGTTGGGAGAAACCTATGCTACATAGGCATAAAAAACTATCTGATAAGGGTTCTAATAGATCATTTCTTGATGAGGTCGAAGTATGTTCAAATGAATGAGCCAAAGGCCTATGTGACCCATGTGTGTGATGATGGCCTTCAGAGACGGTAGCCAAAGCCTCATTTAAGTACCATTACATAACATGCATAATGATAGCCGTTTCGAGAAAGGGAACCACTTTTTAGGGTGAAGCTGAGGCATGTGCGAGAGATACCCTTATGTACCAAAGGAGCTGTGATAGCATTAGGTTTAGGTGACATTGGAACATCTCTAGGGGAGAGTCTGTAATCCACAAACTGAGATTACGACCCATTTGCTCATCGGGTAGACTTTGGCGACCTACGAATGAGCCCCTGCAAGGACTGTGGGTCATGAGAAACACATGGTCTGTTTGATATAGCAAGTGTTGTCTGTAGTCCGCAGTTGAAGGTAGAATGCCCCAATGTTTATTGATTTAATTCCTAGACCATATGGATCATGTTCTTATCTAATGAATTTAATTATGTTTGTTTTGTGGTATACATTATTTTAGAATTATTATTTGAATTTTTATAAATATCTGGATATTTTATTTATCAATTTTGGATTTATAAAATCAGACATATTGATTTTATGTTGATTTAAATATTTAAATAAATTCTAAATTTTTTTTATTAAATTTTAAAT